TCAAACTACGCGAGCTACAGTGACGTCGTTTCGGCAGCGGAGCGCTTCGACATGGTCAACGCCGGAGCACGACGGACGCACGTCGGCAGTACGCGACAGGGCGACCGCTCGGCTCACCCCACGTTCGCCGACCCGATGGAAGTCGACACATTCGAGGGGCGGCCACGTCCGAAAAACACCAACTACACGTGTGATTTTTGCGGGGTGCCGGGCCACCGAATCTTCGACTGCAACAAAATGAAGGCCTCACGCGCAGAGTATCGGACACGCAACAGTGGCGGAAATCTTTCGGCCAATCAGAAGACAAAAAACGGGAGTCGCCAGTGATTGCGGATCTAGCTGGCGAGAAAGAAAAGATCCGGAAACGGCCGCGGGATTCCGGGAAAATCAACTTCGACGAAGCTGATTTGACGCAAGAAGGAGGAAATGATGGGGGAAAATCTCCACCCCACGACCAGTCTTCGCCGGGGAAAATCGCCGAGGAAAAATACGACTCCGCGAAAAAAGACTCTGCCGAGACAGGGAAACTCCTTGAAGACCCAAGAAATCATAAGAATTCGTTAAAGTTATCTTATAAAGATGCTTTAATGAAAACTTATGATGTTCGAGGGGCTAGTGCCTTGGAGAAATTTCGGGAGGGACTCCAAAAGAAGTAGACAGCTGTGGAGATTATACCGGTACCCGACAACCTGGGGACCAAATTAAGGAGTGTGGAAAGAAGCCGACCTTTCCACGGAGTCAACGTCCTCTCCCGACACCAGCCCACAACGACTACCCGCTCCCCAGGGAAGACGTCGGTGGAGCTGAAGCAGCTCAAGAGGAAGCTGGGGGTCTACAAGAAGCTGCACAAACCCCGAACTCCTTCAACGGATGCATCCAGTTCTTCGGCATCAATGACGCGCACAGTCGTCAAAGAAACTCCGGGCCCTGGAGAAGAGCCGTTCTCCAAGCAGTCTCGGCCAGCTGCCGGCTCAGGAGTAGACAGCAACACAAAGGTGTGTACGGAATATTGGGATGTACCCTATGACCCAATCAATGAAACTATCTTTGGGTACACCGAGCAACGACTGCCTCTCGTGCTCGAGGTCATCTGCAAAGGACGACGCCTCCAAGCACTCGTGGACAGCGGAGCGTCACACACCGTCTGCGACAAGGCAATGATCGACCGACTTCGGGAAGAGTACAAGCCTTCTGGATTCTCTGCAACGATGGTGGACGGCAGCAAGCTACCGATACATGGCGAAGCAGTGTTACACCTACAAATTGGACCACTGCGCTGGAGACCTGCACTCCCAATCACCAGCATCAAAGGGCTTGACCTGATTTTCGGGCGAGACTTCTTGAAAAGATTCAACCCCGAGATCAACTGGGTGAACCGCACCGCAATCATCTACAACAATGGACGGAGAGTACAGTTACCCAACTGGGACGATACTGGAGATATTCCAGTGGAGACACTCGCACGATTCGAGAAGGATGTGAAGCAGACCGACACCGGGTTCCTGGCGATAGCAACAGAGGTGGAAAATGACGGAGAGGAAGCCTCGGAAACTCCAGAAAAAATCAAGGAATTATTAAAGGAGTTCCAAGATATTCTTCCTGACGTTCTTCCGAACGAGCTACCGCCATACCGAACGCATCAACACGAGATCGTGGAGGAACCGGGATCGAAGCCAACCTTCCGAGCACCATATCGGCTCAGCCCTACGGAGCTGACTGACATGAAAAAACAGATCGAGTATCTCCTAGCCAAAGGACTCATCTGGCCATCCACTTCGCCGTACGGTGCCCCAGTACTCTTCACACCGAAACCGGACGGAAGCCTGCGCATGTGCATCGACTACCGAGCTCTTAACACGCAGACCATCAAGAATAAATATCCGATACCGCGAATCGATGACCTGCTTGACCAGCTTCGGGGAGCTACGGTATTTTCCAAACTAAATCTGCGGTCCGGATATTGGCAGATACGGATGGCGGACAACTCTATCCACAAAACTGCTTTCCGAACTCGGTACGGATCGTACGAGTATTTGGTCATGCCGTTCGGACTCACCAACGCACCAGCGACGTTCCAAGCAGAGATGAACCACATCCTACGCCCATTCTTGGACGAATGCGTGGTGGTGTACCTGGACGACATCCTCATCTACTCGCGCGACATGAAGCAACACGTCGAACACCTGCGACGCGTCTTCGAAATTCTTCGACGGGAACGTTTCTACGTCAAACTGTCCAAGAGCGAATTCGCCCTGGAGAAGGTCCAATTTCTAGGACACATGGTGAGCGCTCAAGGAGTTCACGTCGACCCCAAGAAAATCGAAGCCGTACGTACGTGGAAGACACCCGAGAACGTGAAGGAGTTGCAGCAGTTCCTAGGCTTCGCTAATTACTACAACAGGTTTGTGCCTCAGTATGCGAAAATCGCAGCACCACTCACGAATCTGCTGAAGAAGAACACGCCCTACAAATGGGAACCAAAGCACCAGGAAGCCGTGGAGCAGCTGAAACAAGCACTCACATCCGCACCGGTACTCATCTTGCCAGATCCCGAACGCGACTACGTAATCGAAGCTGACGCCAGCGACCAGGCAGTGGGAGCAGTCTTAATGCAAGACCAGGGGAACGGACTGCAACCAATTGCCTACCTCAGCAAGAAACTGCACGGGGCAGAACTAAACTACCCGATACACGACAAAGAGGCCCTGGCTATCATCATCGCCTTCAAAGCGTGGAGATGCTATCTCGAAGGACGAAGAACAACCGTCTACACCGACCACTGCAGCCTGAAATATTTGAAGACACAACCCAACCTTTCCAGGCGGCAGGTCCGGTGGATTGACTTCCTCGAGACACACTTCCACTACGACATCGTGTACAAGCCCGGCCACAAGAACAAAGCAGACGCTCTCAGCCGGCCTGCACACGTTGCCGCGATTCAGGTCGAAGGGATGAATCCACTACTCAAGGGACTCTTCACACACGGGTACGCCATCGACCCCGAAATTCCCTTGGCAGAAAAGCGACATCTGCTACAGTGGGACAGTGACATCGCGTACCGGAAAGGATCAACGAAAATCTTGGTACCCAATTACCCTCCTTTGCGCCAGTTACTACTCGAAGAATACCACGACGTCCTCTACGCCGGACACTTCGGTAGCAACAAGACGCTTACCGGTATCGCAAAACACTACTACTGGCCTCACTTGGCAGATGATGTTCAGAAATTCGTCACCTCGTGTGATACATGTCAACGGATGAAGAGCAGTAAGCAGAAGAAAGCAGGACTGCTACAGCCTCTTCCTGTCCCAGAACAGCCATGGCAAGTGGTTAGCCTGGATTTCATCACCGGGTTACCACCTACCACTCGCGGTCATGACGCAATTCTTGTAGTCATCGACAAATTCTCTAAGATGGGACACTTCATCCCGACACACACGACAGCACGCACCGAGGAGACAGCACAGCTCTTCGTTCGTCACATCATCTCACAGCATGGCATCCCAACCACACTCATTTCCGACCGAGACCCCAAGTTCACCAGCAAGTTCTGGAAGGAACTTATGTCTCTTCTCGGGACCAAATTCGCCATGTCATCCGCATACCATCCACAGACAGACGGACAGACCGAGCGCCTCAACCAAATTGTTGAGCAACTCCTCCGAGCAGCCTGCAAGGACAACATCTCCAAATGGGACTTGCACCTGCCCGTTCTGGAGTTTGCTTACAACAACGCCACACATGCCGCTACTGGACAGACGCCGTCCTTCCTCTGCTACGGACGCCACCCACTCACACCACAAAAACCGACAGCATCAGCTACAGTCCAACCAGCACATGATTTCATTACAACCATGCATCAACTTTGGGATCGGACCCATAAGCGCCTCCTTGACATTCAACAGCAACAGAAGCGCCAGGCCGATCGCCATCGCAACGACCACACCATTTCCGTGGGAGACCAGGTGCTCCTCGACACCCGCAACCTGGACATCAGCCATCTCCCATCTAAACTTCGACCTCGCTTTTGCCGGCCTTTTCTCGTTGAAGCACAGGTCACTCCTGTTACCTTCCGCTTACGCCTGCCAGCTCCCTGGAAGATTCACAACGCCTTCCACGTCCAACTTCTGAAGCCCTATCGGGACCTGAACACAATTTTTGTCGGACGCCAACCGCCGCCGCCACCGCCCGTCCTCGTCCAGAATGAACCCGAGTACGAGGTCGAGTCCGTGCTCGCACACCGCCGTCGTCGGAATGGCACCGTGGAGCTTCTCATCCGTTGGAAGGGTTATGATCTTTCTGAGGACAGCTGGGTACCTGAGTCCGACATGGGTAACGCCCGTCGTCCTCTGCATGACTACCTTGTCAAGCAGGGTGTTACTTCTACCACCCAGCTTTGAGGGGGGGAAGTGTGAGAGTACGACCCCGTTACACCACTTGGCCTTTTCTTATTTCCTTCCTTTTTCATTCCTCTTTTTACCGCATCTCATTTGGTTTCCTATTCTTCCTTTCCCATTAACCTTTGGTTTATCCTGCTATTATAAGTAAATCACCGACCAGGCTTGGGATGTATCGGTGAGCTCTATCTAGCGTAATCCTGCTGTAATCCCTTAAAGCCAATAGCCTCGCGTGGCTATACGCAGGGTGATTCTATCTTCTAGAAGGGTCTATTCCCTTAGGATAAGATAAACCTGGTTACCTGATGTACTCTGGAAGTATAAAAGCGCCTTGTACTGATCGATAGTGCAACCTTTCCTCGACACATTCGATCCTGTGACAGAGAGAGTCTATGTCCCTTAGTATTTAGAGCTCTCAGTCCTCTCATTCCTCAGTTTTTGGTTGGGTTTCTTCTTTTTCTCCTTCCCTTGGTGTCGGCTCGCGCCGGCGGCCTTCGGCCGCCGACGCTCGCGGCGCCGCCTGGTGGAGAGAGAGAGGAGAGAGAGAGCGAGAGAGAGAGAGTGAGCATGAGTCCCTCCCTAGCTATATAAGCCCTCTCCCTAGCTCATTCTCCTTGTTTAGTTTCCAGTTCTCTATCTTCTCCCACCCTTGGTGGCGGCTCGCGTCGGCGGCCTTCGGCCGCGCGTGAGGGGAGGCAAGTACACAAGGATACAATATCAACTAGGACAACGGCAAGGGCACACATACAGCACCTACAACCTGCCCGCGCTACAATCGGCGGGCCATCATGGAGAGCCTCACCGAGCTTACCAGAGCGCTCACGCTAGGGCGCACTTCACCAACAAGGACCTACACACGACGGGAGCCCGTCATGCGACTTGGTCCGCTCCAGCCTCTTCAAGCAGGGCCTTCAAGTAGTCCCCCAGGAGCATCAGCGCTGACACGGCGCCGCCAACAATGTCTACAGCTGCAGCCGAGTCTACGCTCGCCGATACTGCCCGCATCACGGCGAGCAGGCGCGGGTCCAGCACGTTTCCCGAGGCGGGCGCAGGCTGCACTCGCGTTGACACGACGGCCAGATCAGGTGCAGCCATCGCGCAGCAGTGGAGTGGATCATGAGGCATCTTGCACGGGCTCACTGAGCTCCGTAGAACGGAGTGTGAGTCCGTCAACATCCTCACAGCATACCCCATCGCCCGCTGCGCGTGCCAGAGCCGCCGAAGCGTGGCGACTGGGATCGCAGTCTCCGCCAGCCGCTCCCTCCCACGCAGGCGCTCGAGCTGCGCCCTCGGCGGCATCCGCAGCCCAACCGAGCGACGCCGCCCCCGCTCCCCAGGGGGTGAGTCCTCACCGGTGGACTCAGCCCCCCCCATCTCCGCTGCTTCTGCCCCCCCCTCAACTCCAGTCGGCGACGCCAGCGCGCGACGAGGGGGGACAAAGGGCGCCGTTGCCCGTTCGCCGAACGACGCTGGTGCCGCCGACGGCGGTTGGCCGTGGGGCCATCCTACCACCGATGCATCCAGGGGCGTTGGTTGCCAGGGCGGCAGTGTCTCCGCGGACTGCACGCTCAACTGACGAGGATCGAAGGGACCGGCAGAGGGGAGGACTGGCAGTGGAGGTGCAGACAGAAGGGGCGGCACGTGGTACTGACGGTCGGGGAGCAGGGGGGACGTCACAGCACGTGGAGGGAACACCTGGGCAGGCGCCTGAGGCGGGGGGAAACGCGTGGGCTGCTGGTGCGCCTGCTGGTACTGCTGGGACGACGGGAGCTGCGGGGAATACGCCAGAGCATGCTGGGGCTGGGCGACAGCGCGGACCAAGCCCTCGAGAGTCGCGGCAGCCCGCCCCAGGCGCCTCTCCGCTGCCGAGCCGCGGTTACTCCCCCCGCCAGCCCTCTAGCCGACGCGCTGGCCCGTACGCCCGCGCGGCGCCTGCGGAGTCCGGCGCTGCTGCACCGGGTCGGGTATTTTCGGGTCGGGTCGGGATTGGATAAAATGCCCAGGACCAATACCCGGACCGGGGATTTGGGGGCGGGTAATTTAATACCCGCCTGGCGGGTCCGGGTATACCCGACCCGGTTTCCTTGAAAAGCGGGTAGTATTACCCGCGTTTTTCTACCCTGTTGGGCTACTAAGCCTACGACCTAGATAGTGCTTCAAAAAAAGTGAGTTGCGGGAGGGAGTATGAGGTGTGCCAAATCTTTAACAGTTCTGGTGTGGTGAGTGGGTCGTGAGTGGGGCCTGAGTGGGGAGTTGGTTGGGTTTTCTAGTTGGGATGGGGTTGTGTGCGGTTTTGGGGGGTTTGATTCTTTGACCCCCAGAGTCAATTGGTTGGAACTCCAACCAATGTGGTGCTGTGCGGTTGGCTGGATTCAGGTTGGGTTGCAAATTGGTTAGGGGAAATTCGATTGGTTTGACTTCCAACCAATTCCCCCCAATTCAACCACTCTGAATGCATCTGTATCTACGAAATCCAACCCCTGCCAATCTACAATGCTCTAAGTGACCTAGCAGCTCACGTAACCTAAAAACTTGATGAAATTTCTATATCAGCGCGACTAATGTCTCGTTGGTTCCATCGGGTAGACCGCTACCCGATTTCGGGTCGGGTACCCGCTACCCGACGCGTCGGGTAGCATTTCGGGTACCGGGTATTGAATACCCGCCCGGGTAACCCGGACCCGACCCGCCGGGTAATATTCAGGATTTCCGATACCCGACCCGCCCTAAAAGCGGATCCGGGTACCGGGTACCCGACCCGGGCGGGTAGTATGCTCAACCCTACCCTGGGGGCATTGTACCGCTCCCTTATTTTAACAATTACATTCGGCATCCTCTTGTAAAACATGATTCCCATCTTAGGTAGTTCTCCGCCCAAGTTCTAGTAAGTTAGGAATGCCATCACATCACTACCATCCATGGTCTCACGATGCGAGGTCTCACCATGCATGCACTCCACTCACCCAATCACTGATGTGGCTGTCTGTGCCCTCCACGGCCGCCTTCTGCCTTGTCAGCAGCTCAAGCAGCACCACGCCAAAGCTGCTCCAACGATTTTGTTGGAGAGGGTCGGGAGGAAAATGGGAAGAGGAAGGGCGAGAAAGTTGTTTGGTAAATCTGTGGACGACAATGTGGCAGCCACCACATGGACAACAAGGACAAAAGAATGAAGATGCAGTTCCAGGAAATGTAGGACTTCAAAAGGGTTGCTCATTCATAGCTAGAGATGGTTGCGCATCGCATCGCGCGATATAATATCGCATGTATCGGAAAAATGCGATAGCGATATTATATTTTCCAGAAAACATATCGCGCGATGCGATGCGATGTAAATCGCGCGATATTTTTATATCGCGGGTTGTCCCCTGCGATATACTGCGATATGCGACATGTTTATATCGCATGCGATATTTAGTATCACATGCGATATTTGTGCGATATCTATGCGATATCCGTGCGATATTTTAAATATCGCATACTCTTTTTGGGTGGCAATCCGGGTTTTGGAGTTCTGGATGAAACGCGATGCGATATTATATCGCACCTGAAATGCGATATGCGATATCGGGTTTCCAAAATTTATATCGCAGCAATGCGATATAATATCGCATCGCACTTTAACCATGTCTATCCATAGGTTTGATGAGGAAAGTGATTGGGTAGCACCACAGGTTAGCTGGGATACATGCTCAGGGAGAAGCATAATAGGGCAAGCCCACCTGTACACATCGCTCTTTTCCGAGACGATTTGGGTTCGGTTGTAATCAGGGTCCAAGTAGCCCGGGGTGCCGGCAACTCGAGTGCGGTCGTCGCCGTCCTCTGCATGGCTGAGCAGCTTGAGCAGCCCAAAGTCGGCAATCTTGGCCTGGTTGTGCTCCCCCACGAGGATGTTGCCGGGCTTGAGGTCGCGGTGCACGATGGGCGTCGCGAAGCTGTGCAAATAGGCCACTCCCTCCGCTGCGCCCACCGCCAGCTGCAGCCGCTGCTGCAGGGACAAGGGGGCTGGGAAGAGAGAGGGGAGACACACACGACAAAAGGCGATAAGAAGGTTAAGTGGGTACATGTGTAGGAGAGGAGAAGCAACAACAAAATAAAGGAAGTGGCAAAGTTTGCAGCACATTGTGCGAGCACCATTTGTCTTTTACGCTATAGCATAAGGAGCGTTAGAGAACACAAAATCTGTCAAGGAGCTCAAAATTCCTATCTCATGCCAAGTGAGCACAAAACACAATCCTAAAGCCAAACACTATCTGGGAACAATGGAATTTGAACTAAACATGCCCATAAGCCGGGCCGGCCCGTGCCTGGCCCAAGCCGAGCTCGAGCTACGGGCCAGTCGAGCCAAGCCGGTCGGAGCCAGGTAGAGCCGGCTACAAATTTTAGCTGGCTCGGCTCGCCCAAACAGGGTTTAGCCGGGGCCCGACTAAAAAACGAAACGGTTTGGCTCGGCTCGACAAGCTTTAGGACGCAGACTTTGTTAGGGTACAGAGAGGCATGCGCCTGCGTCTGATGTTGGCGATTTCATAAGACCAGATCTGGAAATTTCTAGATCTTCCAAATACGAAATTGTTCAACCGGGAGGGGTTGCTTGCGAATAATCGTAACACATCACTCACGAGGCATCACCAAAAAGCCTGTGTTCGTACCATATCTGAACGGCGTCTGTGTTCGCAATGTGCCCGATTTCGCAGAATTCGGCGTGCAAATTCGCGAATCACGACTAAGGGTCAAGAAAACGAACACCGGGCAGGTGCCAAATTTTGGCCAAGGGAAATTCGGGAAGTGTGTTAGGGTTTTGTCAATAATCGCAAGCCCACAAAATTCGTGGGGGGTTTGAATGTTCCGATGCTGTAAGATATTTCTATCCCAACCAATCACATGCTCCCAAAAAACCTCGTCATCCTAACCCACTTCTGAAGGCCCAATCCTTGTAATGAACCCAAGCGGAAAAGTTCCGCCGACCGAGCCTCCGAGCCTCGCGAAAAGGACGAACTGTACATGCACCCAAGTTTCCACTCCTGATAATTTTGCCACGCTGGTAATTTCGTCGCGCATCAGTGAAATTCGCTTCGTGAAATTATGCGCTTCGAATTTCGTTTCGGCAATGTTCTTGTACTATACCTGTACCTGTTGTAAAATATATATCTATACAACATGCATGCCTAGATTAGGAGGTGTAGTCATTATAATTATTGGGGGGTTGTTGGTTGGGTTGACTGAACCCACCTTTGGGTTGGTCAAGATTGGATTTGATCCTAGACATTTGGTTGGCACTATTCCAACCAAATGGTCCTTGGTCCTAGGAATCAACCAATCACCAAGCACCACAATTTGTGGTTGCTTGCCTTCCGAGCAATCTCTCTCATTGGTTCACATTGTGGCCAATCGGAGAGCACCACACTTTGTGGTTGCTTGCCCTACAAGCAACCTCTCCCATTGGTCCACTTTATGGCCAATAGGAGAGCTTCCCTTCCAACTCTTCCTTGCTCCTTGCTTTGTACAAAAGAGCCTCTTGGCTCCCTACTCAATTCAATACTTTCTCTTCAAAGCTAGTTCCTTCAGTACCTGCCCAACCTTATCGATGAAAAAAAAAAACGAGCACTGTAAGCCAATTCGCCATGAAGGATATCTACTCACAACCAAACACAGGTCGTCAAATTGCCCCGTCACGTTTCACCCATCTGTCGTGGCGTTTGGAAGCCCCACACAATTATTCGCCGCAACCAACCAACCTCGTCACCCAGCCGCACATGTCAAATGCCACAGATCTATGGTTCGTTTTTTCGTGCTATCCATTGCGTCCCACGCTGTGCAGGTTGAGAGGTAAAGACAACCCAGCGAGGGATGTCAACCTTTTCAGCTCTATCTACGAATAATTCAGTGAGTTCTGTATTGATGTTCCAGTATTTCCTTGCTCATGCTACAAGCCCTGTTGGCACAACACGTTGTCTGCAGCCGTGCTTTCGAAGTACAAAGACTAGTTACCACCTTAGGGCTAAACGTCACTCTAATCTTCACTATGTACTAAGGCAGGGGCGGATGCGGCCTCTCGGTGACCCGGGGGCGCCCGCCGTACTGCTTGTCAATACGTTGTTCCAGTGCGCCTACATGATACCTTTCGATGTTCAATGGCGTCTTTGTGTCGTACGTATCTAGTGCCATGCATTTGTCACTGATTGTAGCGACGCTCGCTTTATGATGTCAAGCGACATTGCAAAGCCGCGCTTGCTTTCCATGACCTTTGATGACTCCCAAACTTTTTCGCAACAATGCCTGCATGATTGCTCTTCTCCTAAACCGCATTTTGTAACCTCTTTAACACTCACACATGCAGCAGGGGTTGTTCGTGGTGAATCACTTGTACGACGACGACCAACGCCCTTTGCCAGCAACACGGCGTGGCATTTGCGGTATCGTATTTTTTGTAGGCACTTCCCGCATTATGTGCGCTACTCTGATCCTAACGTTGTTGTTTTCTATTGAATGCAGCTTTTCTTGGATATTTGGCATTGACATTAGCATACTCGTGCTGAGATATAGGCTACAACGCTTTGTACTACCAAAGTTGAATTGTGGTCGGTTTTTATTTAAAAAAAATATATAAGAGCATTTACTCTGTGTGATACACCAAGACCCAGCAGACACTCGCGTGGGGGCTCCGAATAGTGTTTGTTCTGTGTTCGTGCAGACACATTTCGAACACATTTCGGACGCTGTATTTCTGCGATGGGGGGTTGCGAAATTGTTAACTGGACCCTTCACGAGGGATTTGTGAAATTCAAAATCGATTCCCCAGGAAGGGGTTGCGAAATTCGTGACTAACCCTTCAGAAGGGGGTTGCAAAATACGTAACTGGCCTCTGAGGAGGGGATTGCAAAATTCGCAATTGACCCTTCAACTTAGGGTGCGGCAAACCAGACAGATACTTTTCTTCCAACTTCGTTTTCCAACCCCCTAGACGCTAGTCACGTGGCTCTATGACGGCCTCGGTCCTGGCTCGTTGACGAGCCAGCTCGAGTCATTTTTGCTGGTCGAGCCGAGCCAACCGTCAGCTCGATCGCCAAAATGGCAAGCCCAGCAGAGCCGAGCCCATTCGTACTACCGTCCATGTCTAATTTAAACATCTTCCCCAATTTGTCATTCTAATACCCCTCACTGTTGTTGATACCAAATCAAGAAGGAAGGCCTAATTGATTCAAATGTACCATGATCCGCTTTGACACAGATATATATAAATGGATGAGATGAAAAACCAACAAGATCTCCTAAAAAGCATGACAAATTGGTTGGGACGAACACACATTTCGACCAGGATAAATGAGCATCTAACCCGTAAACAGGCAGGCCAAGTAAGGGCGGTGTACATTTGGAGTCGTGGATGTGGTGCTTGAGGTCCCAATCGTCAACTCTGACCAAGCTGATAGGCCAAGGACACAACATACCTTTGGAGTCATGGATGTGGTACTTGAGGTCCCCGTTGCCCACGAACTCGTACACGAGGATCTGCTCCTGCTGGCCGCTCTCCACGTTCTGATGTAGGCAGAAGCCCAACAGCCGCACCACATTCTCATGCCGCAGTGACGCCATCGCCCGCACCTGGCGGTTTGGGGTTGGTGGGGAGGGGTGGAGAGTACCAACGGTAAGGAATAGAATTGGTCTGAAACACAATCGGGAGGGCACGGAAGTGTCATAATACAACAACAACGCAGCAGAAATCATCCCTCACATTCCATTTCCCCCACCTCGGTCTCGAAGTCGTTGGACATGAGCTTGCTGCGCTTGACGGCCCACAGTTCGCCCTTGCTGGACACCCCCTTGTACACCGTGGCAAAGCCGCCCTTCCCCACCACATTGCCGCTCGCCCAGTTGTCCGTTGCCCGCAAAATCTCGCCGATGCTGAACTCCTGACAAACGTCCAGGCCGCTCCACCTCTCTGCCACACAGATACTCAGGCAATAAAGACAGTAGACATTTTCAAGAGGGTCAGGCTCGGTACGGGCCAGCTCGTCACAGACCAGGCTGGAGTCGGTCGGCGGCCTGAGCCTTTAAACCTGGAACGATTAGTACTCTTTGTCAAAAAATTGCCCAGATCCGCGCCAATCAGTTGGCAAAACATCTGCGCCGATCTGGAGGAGGCTGAAAACCATGCCAAGCTGTTGGGAGGGGGGGGGGGGGGGGGGTATATGTAGGCCCGAGGGCAGTCCGGCCCGTCCATAAAATACGGGGCACGAACCGGGGTAGGGGCTGGCTGGCTCAACCCGACTCGCGCTGGCCTAGGCCCATCCCTTTTCACCGACAGGCCACCCGCGGCCCAGGCTGGACCGGCCCGAGCCCGTAGAGGCAGCACAGGCAACTCAAAGGCAGTATTCATCCCATGCTTGCTAAGCGTTTTAAACATGTTTACGCAAGGACGCCATAGTGGAGGGGGAGGAGAGGCTCACTGCGTTGCTTGGGCCAGAGCAGCGCCACAATGAGAGCGAGGAGGAGAGCAAAGGCGGCAGCAGAGCCCACAGCAATGCCCACCACTGCGCCTGTGGAGAGCGCTGAGGGAGGGGGGGGGGGGGGGGTGGGTTGGGGGTCGGGAGTGGGGATAGAGTTGTTGGAGAGAGGGCGAGAAGAAGAGAGGGCGAGAGGAAGAGAGAGGGCGAGAGGAAGAGAGAGGGCGAGAGGAAGAGAGAGGGCGAGAGGGAGAGAGAGGTGGTCTGTGACCACCAGCCAATGACCTGATTCTGCTTTTGAGTCGACTCAAAAGCTGATTCTTAGACTTCCCTAAAAAATATTTCCATAGCTAATCATAGAAGGAAAGGACATGATTTTGAGCATTTGTTATTTTCTTCGGTGGTCTTTTTCTCTTTCTTCTAACTCGCTAGCATCACCCCCAATCGAAACCCATCGCTTAGAAAACAGCCATTTTCTTGCTTCCCAACCTAGGCCTCTCTTTCTCCTGCTCGCCACTCAGCATACATGCCCACTGGGGCTGTTGAAGAGTTAAATTGAAATGAACTAGACCCTCTCCTATCTAATTTCACCCATGGACATACCTGCAGGGGGGGGCGGAGAAGGGTGGGCGCAGGTGGAGCCGAGGGCGCCATTGGCAGTGACGTATCCGTGGTCACACTCACACGTGAACCCCGCCCCTGCTGCCCCCGCCTGCGGTGGCACACACGCTCCGTGCCCGTCGCACGGCCCCAGCTCCCGCGACATGCTGCAGAATGCCAGGCACGCGTCGCTGCTGCGCTGCGTCTCATTCGCCGTGCACTCCAGCTGCTGATTCAGCGTGAAACAGTTCTGCCGCAGGCTCGCCTCGCCGCGCTTGTTGGCCCCTGAGCGTGTCCCCTCACCTCGTCCCGACAATCCTTGGGGTCCACAGCGGCCCCCAGAAGAGAAACTGAAGTCATTTGTTGTCAAAACCAGAGGCTGGGTGATATTGGAGGGGCAGAACTGGCAGCCATCGGCGTAGAGCATGGGGTCGCCGTAGAAATAGTTGCCTGCAATGTTGAGCAGAGCGTTGTTGTCGGGAATCATGCCGCGGAAGTTGCTGTTGATCTCACCGTAAAAGCTGTTGTTGCTGATGTCACTGACAAGCGGTGGCGAGGAGGAGAGGCATGGAGGGATGAGAGTATGAAATACAGCAACTGCCTGCTTGCTCTTGGTGGGAAGCGGTGGCGAGGAGGAGCAGCAACTGCTTGCTCTTGGTGTCCCCTGCTCCCATCATTACTGGCCTCTCTGGCTCATTAATTTTGTGCAGGGTTCACTTCGTCTATTTCACCTTGAAGCGAGTAGACTGTTTCACGGTCCAAGTTGACCCTAGGTTTGGTTGGGTTTCCATTCCACCCCAGCTTCTATACGCATTCTTCATTCTTATCAAATGCTTTTTAAAATTATAAGGGAAGAAGGGGGCAAAAGTCTAAGTTGGAAAAAACGCTAAAGTTTGACTGCGTATTGCATTTAAACGCACAGAAAATACGTACGCTACGTTTTTGGGATAGATATGCCGAAATACGCATGGGCTGACCGAGAGAAAAAAAAAACCAAAAAAATCGCGACACTTTGCGACTTAGCGAAAAACATTCTTGCCTTCGCACATCTCGAACTCAACTTCGAATTCGAATTTCAAACCCTAAGCACACCAAACCAACCCCGCCACCCCACTCCACCTCGTCACTTCCCAATCACTCAAACAGAGTCAGTCAGCTCTCCTAGCATAAAGTACTGCCATTTCAACATTCGATACTCATTCTCGCAGTTCCCTTCCTACCTAGCTTGCCCGCCCGCCACCATGACTTCTAGCCCTACAGCATCACCCTCTCCCACATCTGCTGAGGCACCCCGTACTTCCACCTGCCTGAAAAAAGAAAAAAAAATCCCTGCCCGGGCCACCGTATTCTGTGCGTACCCGACCCCCTCCCCCTAAGCGTATTGTGTTTATACGCTCTCGTATAAACGCTTTTGTATCAAACGCGATACGCGTATATTCCAACTTAGGCAAAAGCATCTCTTACATCCTCTGCAGACAATGTTCAAAGAGGCAGGAAGGGAATCCCCCATAGAAATAGTTGTTGCGGAGAAGCCTAAAAGAGGAGTTACAGGGTTAGGAAGACGT